CCTCCTCCTTCACTGAGCACTGGAGCACGGGACGACAGCACTGCGTGACCAGAGGGCTCTGTGGGAAGCGCCCTGAGGTTCTCTACAGAGTAACCGGCCACTGGCTGGAGATCAACTTCCATCTCTTCCTGAGCCATTTCTGCAAAAAGGTGAAGAAAACAACTAGTATTTGCAAGTCTGCGCCCTGCTTCTAGCCTGACGGTGGCAAGAATCAGGTGCAGCCGTCAGTGACTACAAAAGCTTTTAGAATTCAGACTCGAGAGAGAATTTGTCCTTTTGCCTTAGACATGCAGCAGAGCTAAACCACCTCAAGTCGAAACAGGTATGTGAGCTGGCATAGCAGGCAGCACCCTCCCAGGGTCCTGGACTCAAAGTCTTTGGCTCAACAGCAGCTAGCACCAAAGGCACACCGCAAAATGGACTTAAGTAAGCCTTTGGATGAATACGGAACGTTAAGGATTTCTCGCTGGCATCATTTACTTGCCAGTAAATTCACATGGATCTTGGAGAACAGTTTGGAAATATTCTAGAGATTCTCCACGGTGAGCAGCGCTGCACTAACACCCACATATACAGCCAGAAACGAGCTCTACGACGCAGCCCTTTGTCCGTCGCATCGCTCTCAGGAGGTGGGTTTATTTTCAAGTTTCTTCGAATAAAATTCCATTACGGTAACAGATCACCGCGACCCCTTCCCACTTAACAGACCTTTCGGTTACTTTATATTCACCAACACCATGCCAACCCAGAAAGGGTATCACGGCAGAACCCACGACTGAGACATTATGGGTAGCAAGTTACCTACAGCATCAGCGTTTGTGGATCCATATGCAGCCTGAGACTAGATAAACACGAAATTTGCAGTAAAACCTCACATATATTATTTAAGGATGGCTACCCTGCAGACCCCTTTGGGATAAAGATTTCAGGTTACCTCCTAACCTAAGTACTACCTTAGGTTTTGAAGAAAAACAAACGAGACGACAGCCTGTGCATCGCTAGTTATTATGCTGCTGTCAGCCACCAAATTAGAGCACTTTAGTCACCCTGTGCTACAGGCAGTCTTACAACACAAAAAAGTTGAAGATTATTTCATTAATTGCAAAAATAGGTGCGCCAAAAGAAAAGAAAAAAACAGTCCTTTTTTGGAGGAGGCGGGTGGATTAAATTCTGCAAGCTGCTGAAGGTCATTCACATTCTCAGAAAATACTTAGGCTAAATCGTAAACCCGAAAGGCCTTGGGAATTGCAGACCTTTAGCACTACGCAAGAGCCGCAGGCACACACCAAAACTGATTAGGCTAGGCGCTGCGCAAATAGAGCAAAGGCTGCTTTGAGTGCAAAGAATAATGAGAAAGCGTATACAAGAATTACTAGAGGGGGATGTACTAACGCTCACATGTTTTTATCGACCTTTTAGGAAATTCTAACTTATGACTCATTTCATAATTCTTATCCTAATTACCAATTCGGCCTAAGTTCGGCCAAAAATAGATGTTAAGCGCCACCTCCCACCAGAACAGTCATACAGATGGTCAAGTACTGCTTCTCCAGCACTAAACTCACGTTCACGATAAAATTGCCACCTATAAGCATAACAGACCCTTTATTTTCCCCATAAATTAACTGTGAGACTTAAAAATACCGCACACATTGTTAACCCCATTGTGGGTTAACTAGCCCCGCGTAACTCCTAACAAAAAAAAAACCCCAAACCAAAAAAAGACATTAACACTGGCATTTTCACCATTAAACCCTGGTGTTTTCCTGAAAGGGGCAAAGGCCAGCGTCTTCCCCAAGACGGCCAGCTGCCCACCCGGCAGACGGAAGGTCTCCACGAACAAGCTTCTTGGGGCCCACGCGAGACAGACCGGAGTGCCGTGGCAGGACGGAGCTGGCGAGGCAGCGCGGCGGGCGGCTCCGCGGAAGCCTCCGCGGCACCGACCGGAGCGCTGAAGGCTGAAGCACAGGCCTCCCCTTGCGGAGGAGCCTCCTCACCACGCAGCCCCCGGCAGCGCGCAGGCCGGCCCAGGCCCCGCTCCGCACCTCCGGGAGCTCTTACGCTGCACCTGCTTCAACGTAAAGTTAACCACAAAAAACCCCCAAACGCCACCCAAAAATCAAGCGCGCGCTCCGCAAGCACGGGTTTATTTCTGGCTTTTTACAGGGCTCGCTTATTTTAACTAAGAAGCGGTCACGTTAAACGGCGCGGGAGGGGGAGGCTTCTCCTCCGACAGCCGCAGGCACCCCAAGCTCTGGGGACGCCGTTCCCGGCCGCCTCGCGGCCCCTCAGGCCGGG